AGAAAAGAAGAGGGAACAAGTGACGAGAGGCCTGTGTATGTACTTGCGTTCGTGTGCGTGTATTTGTGCGAATTCGGCAGGAACTTATAATTCCTGTTTTCCTGCACCGGTGCATCTCAATTCGGGAGGGTTTGAGCGGCACATCAGTTTTACACAAGAAGAAGAAGAGCCCTGCGTTAGCCGGGCGATCCGACTGGTAACTTATGAAATCGAATGACTTTAGAGTATGTGAGAGAAGCAACCGGAGCCAATTGCTATTCTCACTCCAAACCAACAGTTGGTTGCAAATTAATTGGCAAAAGTTCTGGTTTCCTGTCTAGGTAACAAGAACATTTAATGTTTCGTCCTATGCTTATTATAGCTTTATTTCAGTTATGATATTCACCGTGGCGCAGGATCCAGATCGATTTCCGGAATTGCACGACTTGATGGAATGTGTGATCCATGGAACACATGCACTCTAGCAGAAGGGCTTGATTTTACTTCAGCATTTATTGGAACTCATGAATTGGGTCACAGGTCAGCACTCGGTTTGAGGACTAACATGTACATGAAAGCGCACCTCAAAGCTGACCTACACGATAAGCTGTTTGGTCTGAGTTCTAATCCTCTGTTATGTTATTTTCCATGGTCACTCCCACTCGGCTAAAAGTCTGTACCGATTCCATTAATTGGAAGTGGGAAAAAGAGCCATGAAATTATGTTCTCCTTGAGTGGGTCATTCTCCCAGCAGAGTAGGACTCTTCTTTGATTTTTGGCTATCTTACAAGTAAGCGAAAACTACGATTAGTTGCAAAAATTTAGTGAAAAAAGGAATTACAACTTAGTGAGCAAAGCAATTTCGAGAAGAAAAGCGACGTGAATGAAGAAGAGCGTGTGATATTACTAGATTTTTCATGTGACTATTGAAAAGAGCTAATTCGAACGGCTGCCTTCTCAATCTCAAACAACCTGATGGAGCATCCCGAATCCTATTATATCTCGATCAGCGTGCAAACTTCGCTCTAAGTTTAGCTGATCCTGATACAGTCGGTGACGCATGACCACTTTTATAGGGGTCTCTTTATAGGGGTCTCTGTTCCCCTATACAATTTCCACTTATAAAACATTTCCACATAAGCGTAACTGTAGTCATTCATAACCACCCTACGATAAAGTACAACAGGAGACGAATAAGCGCGAGTGTTTCGCAAAGAAAATGATCGCTAACAGCGTTATGAATTGCTTTGAGCTTTGCCTGAGACGGTGTGTGAACCGTCCACAATTAAGATTAGACTACCTCTTTTCTGGAAACGTCAGCCACTTTGTTCCGACCGCCTATAATGGGCGAAGCCTCGCTATGTTGTGTTTGGGCTCCTAACGCACATTAGACATTGCTTAATCTACTTCTTTTGTCTCAAAATTACGGTAAAATCGCGATATGAATCCAGGTGATGAGTTCTCACTGCATGAATGCTCTGCCACTGTATACGAAATTCCTTTATTCTACTTTTCGACCCATTCTACTCCTCACCTTTGTCCAGCTTTTTCCTAGTATTCAGGTCTTTTCAAAGCCATAATGGGAAGTTTTGTGCCCGACACCGTTGCGTGTACTGCCTCTTGTAGACGAAGCTCCTCTGAGCTCCTCTGGGCCCTGTTGATCTTGCACTATGGTCACCCACACTTAACGTGTTCTGTCCTCTTCATTGCCTCCCGAGGTAATACCGAATTCGGTGACACACAGATTTACAGACAGATCGATACCAAACATACAGACAGGCAGACAGGCGTCGGAGAGATGGATAGACTGATGAACAGACGTGAGCATCTTCATGACAATGATACATGCTTTGGAGAGTCCACCAAAATGAGCTGCTTGCCTTGATTAAGTTTTGCTGTCAACTTCAGCCAGGTCTGCACATTTCACAGCTGTCACTGTACCAATACACATTAGGATGCTCAAAAACTTCCTATACTTCTGCTCTTGTCAAAGTACTTTCACCTACGGAAGATAGATTTTTCTCATATATGAACTGACTATGAAAGCCCTGTGAATTGAGTCTCCAGTCAACTAATTTGACATTAAAAAACAGTAAGTCCAAAATCAATGTGAATTTCTTACAACATCAGAGTGCTATTTATTCGTGAAGCGTGATCTGCAGCAATCTTCATTGGTAAAAATCTCAACTGTATCAGTGGGAAGGCCACATGACGTCATCTCAGAAGACGGATAGGCCGTAATGCGCGAAGTGAAGTAAATACATATGTACTTGTCACGGGGTGCAACGTACGTACGTGACAGGAGTGCTCATGTGCGATTAGTGTGCTGCGTGTGCGATTGGCATCCCGTCTGAGCACCAACTTTGAACCTGAGCTGTGGGGATCCACAGGGAGGCGATCTGAACCAAATTGACCTAAACTGCTTCTCACATTGTTTCCATTCACGCGAATGCAAGTTTTTGTTCAATTACCAGTAATCTTCTGCTTTTCCCGGTGGTATATTGCCCTGCTACCTACCAGCGGTAACGTCAGCCGAAACCCATACAGCTATTCGAGGGTGTATGCCTGTCGCTTGAATAGGGCTCAGACTTTCAAACCCTAGTGAGTCTTGAAGATTAGCTGTATTTTATGTCGGTCAGATTCAAAGGTAACCATGCTGAAATCTCAAGCTGGTGATGATACAGCATTCCGCTTGTCAGTGCGGAAGATTAAGCTATGGAATTCGAACATACGACCTCAAGATGAACAGTTTGGACCACCTTTGTTGTTCTATGGGTTTGTGAGGGATAGATTATCAATAGCATCGACGAGGCGTCGATTCGGCTCGTCAAATATTTTTATGGAAGACAGCAGTCAAAATGTGGAGAGATTCCGGATGATAGCGTAGCTGAGAGTACGATACTCTATCACTTTTCTAGAAAATAGAAGAACAGCACTGCTGGCTAAGAAGCAGAGAGCGACTTTACGCAGCAACCGTTTTGTGTTGATTCGAGAGCTTAGCCATTCCCAGAACCAAAAATTACCCAGGGAAACGAATTCTAGTGAGGTATGACTGAAGCAAACATTGCCTTCTTATCTACTAGTTTACGCATGATGAGTTTTACCCTACCAGTGTCCTCCTCTGCGCCACTAATTCACCGGTTTTAAGCGTTCAGGAGACCACTTAAAGGAAGGTTTCACTAAGAAAGGTGCCAACTTCCCATGGAATTTTGAATAAAGACCTCGGTATGTCGATCAACTGTATCACCTGTCGTCCCGTTGCTCATCGACTTCCTAGTGAGCTCCGTAACGTCTCCATTCGTCCCAGTTACGAGCCAGCATAGTCCAGCAAATCGTCCTCGCTCCAGGAACACGAGGTCCAACGTTCCTTTCGTTCAGAGCTTTCGTGAGAAAGTCTGACCATCTCGTTGGCGGCCGTCCTGGAGTTTGTTTGATGTTCCGAGAAATCCAGTCAGTAATCGCTCTGGTCCAACGGTCATCACTATATCGCATGACGTGCCCGGCCCGTCTTATTTTGTATTTCTTGGCGTATTCAACGGCATCCCTGATCTTTTTTGTCGACAGAGCTTGTAACTCCGGATGACCTTCTGCACTTGCGTATATAGGGAAATTCCGAGCATCGTCCTTTCCAAAGCGCGTTGAAGAACGCTGACAGCATGTTCATCCTGCTTTCGTAGAGTCCAGGTGTCCGAGGCATACGTCAAAGCAGGAAGGACAGCAGTGTCGAGAAGGTGAAGGACGGATAATTTTGTCCTCTGCGCTACTCCCTCAATATTCCTGAATGCTACCCAGGCGGCGCGTTCCCTTCCGCACAGCTCCGGGGCAAGGTCGTTCATCATGTTGACTTCCCGGTCTAGATACACATATCTAGAGCATTCGGAGATATTCTTTCTTTGAAGCGTGAAGGGAGCATCAGGTACCAATTCGTTTTTTGTAAACATCTTCTTTGTTAAATTCAGTCTCAAGCCGATCTTTCCAATTCTTTCCTGTCAAACTCGGCCAGATTTCTTCCGCCTGCTCGATGTTCGGCATTATAAGCAAGGTGTCGTCTGCAAAGCGGAGGTGATGAAGATAGCGGCCGTCGGCCTTCACTTCCAAGTCTCCCCATTCCGAATCTTCTTCTTCCTCTTATTCTTTAGCGTTTGTCTCGCTTGTAGGCGGGGTCAGCTTTTCTGATACGTTGACGCCACTTCCTGCGATTGAACCCTTGATCGGGGGTGGATGTTAACCGCTTCAGGGTCTTCGTGCAAGCCACCGCTGCTTAGGACGTCCTCTAGGCCGCTTTCCGGACACGTCAATGTTGAGACCGATCTTACGAACACTGTCGTTCTTTGGGCCAAGAATATGACCATACCTCGTAGACGGGCATCGCGCACTTTATCGACAATGGGCGCTACACCTAATCGCTCCCTGATGGCGTTATTACTTATACGGTCTAAGCGTGTTACTCCGGCTGTGCAGCGTAGCATTTTGGTCTCCATCACACTGAGAAGGGCTTCAACTTCTTTGGTTGGAGGCCAGCATTCAGCGCCGTACATTGCGACCGGCCGGATGACGGTTCTGTAGATTTTGGGTTTGAGACGCTCATGGATGTTCTTATCGCAGAGTACGCCAGTCATTGAGCGCCACTTCAACCACGCTGCATTCGAGCGAGAATTTGTTTCAAAACCCAGGCTACAGTCAGACGCAATTGCCGATCCAAGGTGCTTGAAGGTTGTTGTCCGTGTGAGCTCAGTGCCATTGATCTTGATAGAGCCTGGCTCGCTCGAATCAGTGGTCAGATACTCAGTCTTTTTGACGTTTAACCTGAGCCCGAACATAGCCAGACGGTCAGATCAGGTGTGCACCTGTGACTCGACCTCGCTTTTGTCTTCGCTGGCGAGCATCACGTCATCGGCATAAAGAAGTGTCCATGGAGCCGGCTTCCGGAGGTCTTCTGTAATGGCATCCATGACGACAACAAAAAGTAGTGGAGATAACGCAGAGGCTTGGTGTACTCCGACGGAGATGGGAAAATCCGTCTATGTCCCCGCTGCCGTATGCACTCGTCTCATTGGACTAGTGTAAAGGATGCGCACCCACTCAATGAGCTCTTCGGGAACGCCATGCTGTCGTAAGGCATACCACATAACGTCACGTGGAATGGGATCAAAAGCCTTCTCCAAGTCTAGAAAGGCAAGGTGTACCGGTCTTCGTTTCTCGCGATGCTTTTTCAGAAGAAGGCTAGTGGGGTGTATTGCATCGTTGGTGCTACGACCAGCTACGAAACCGCACTGGTTAGTGACAAACTCAACGATATCCCGGATACGGCTGTCTACAATTCGCTCCAAGATTTTCATGCTTTGCGAGAGCAAGCGAATTGGACGGTAGCAGGTGCAGTTCCCAGGACTGCCCTTCTTCTTCCAAATAGGATCGTCGTGCTGTGTTGTCAGCTCTCAGGCACCCTCTTCTCTGAAACGATCTCGTTCCGTCAACCATCCTCCAGGATTCCAGCTTTTCGATTTCCACAAGTCCGCCGCTAAGTCGTCAGGACCAGTTGCTTTGCCTGATTTCATCTTCTCAAAGCCGTAATGGTCTCATTCACGGTTATTTTCTGAACGGGACCGTGTACTGGAGGAGCGCAGAGAATGGCGCGATGAGCGAATTCGACTGTTGAGATGTTTGTGAAGTACTCTCGCCATCGTTTCAGTGTTTGCCTGCGGTCCGTTAAGAGGTGACCGTTCTTGCCATTTATGCCAAAAAACTTTCCTATATCTTCGATTTGGCAGTTGCCGGTCTTTGCGAGGCGGTAAACGTACCGCTCACCATCACGAGACTCGAGTTTCTTATTAACATCGATATAATGAGCTGTGTTCTCAGAAGCTACGGCCTTCTTCGCCTCTTTCTTCGCTATCTGATAGCGTTGCCAGTTGTCAGCCGTTTTTTAGATGAGAAATGCGTGGCACTGCTTTTTCTTCTCACGGACTTTATCCCTGACATGGTCGGTCCACAATCTTGTTTGCTTGTCGAGCTTTCGCCGTCCAGGCTTGGTCATGCCGAGCTTCGACCGCGCAACCCGGGTTATCGCTTCCACAGCTCCCTTCTACGTTTCGTCGACAGTCGTTACCGCTGGTAGCAGAATGCTGGAAATGACGGCCGCTTCTTTCTCCTTCAGTCGCCACCACTTCGGCAGGGCGATCTTTAACGTACAAATCAGTAGTCGGTGTTGAGTTGCGACTGTTTCATAGGGAACTGTCGTCGCGTCTGTTACGAGCCCCTGATCGCGGTGCCTGTCAATGACAAAATCAATTTGTGTTCTGTTTTGACCGCTATAGAAGGTGATGAGATGAGAGTCACATTGCGAAATCTCGTGTTAACAATGGCGAGATTATGCGGGTCTGCATATTCGACAATTCGCTCGCCATCAGTGTTACGTGACCCATATGCAAAATCCCATGGCAGCTATAACCGTCTTTCGTAGCGCCCACGTGACCGTTGAGGTCACCTCCGACATCTATGGCCTCTTGTAACGGTGCTTCAGCTGTCTTTTCATCGAGCAGGTTCCAGAAGGTGTCCTTGATTTGCTCGGAACATCCAGTCTGCGGAGCATACGCTGTGAAGAGATGGTATTTTTGGCGTTCGATGACTACCACGATCTTCATTAGGCGGCCATCGAAGCGTTTCACGCTTACTATCGAGTCACGGAACCGTTCAGAGACTATTATCCCGACGCCATTGGTGGTTTTGGGGCCACCACAAAAAAACGGCTTCGAAGCCAAGGCCAATGTCCCTGGACTTGCAGCAGAACCACCTCGTTCCCTGCACAGCGCAGAAATCAATTCGACGACGCTCTAGAGCTTCTGCTAACTCGTACAAGCGTCCCGTTAACGTGCCAACATTGAACTTCGCAACTCAACAACACAACGGATCTTCCATACGTTGCGTGGCTTTCGGACTAGCTTAGTTGCGCGTCGGCTCCCGCGGATGCCGTAGCATTACATCGAATCCCTTCAAGTGACATTAACATTTTTGATGTGACGGGGGTGTCCGTAGGCCGGCCTGTCACGGGGCCTGTCGCCTGCATTCGAGCGTCCGTGATCAGCTCGGCCCACAGAGTGGGCAGTCGTCTTGCCCAAGATGGTAGGTAGGCAGGTAGGCGTGGCTGTCGAAGAGATCCGAGTAGAAGTCGTAAATGACTTTTTCCATTGCCCTTCTAGATGTAGTGACTGTTCCGGAAGGACGACAAAGGGGAGTCGTCTTGATTCTGTAAATGGCGAACTCTTGGATTTTCGAACGGTGTTCCCGGCCTCGGTGGCTTCGTCCATAACTGTTGCTCTTCTCTTTTCCAGATCTCCCTTTATCGCTTCTCTTCATAGCTTCGCAAGTTCCGACATTTGTTGATGATTGCCTGTTGCTCGCGCTATTTCACACTGGCGTGTCAGCTCGAGAGTCTTCGAGGAGAGTCGTCCCTTGGCTACTTGAAGACTCTCTGCTTCATTAGCATTATCGTGAAGGTGTTCGACGAGCCGGTTGTTATCTTCATAGATGTTGTCGATAACGGAAACTTCCCATTCACTCGCAAGGGAGGCGAAGTGATCCAAGTCGACAACAGTCTCAGGACTTCGTTTCCTGGTTTTCGCAGCTCTCTCTCCACGCACTGAGAAGCATAATCTAGCGCGGAGGAGACGATGGTCCGATCCCGTAAAAAACTTCGGAACAACAGCGGCGAAAGTCAGGCAAATTCTCCGGTTGAAGATGATGTGGTCCATTTCATTATGGAACTGTCCACCAGGTAACTCCCATGTCCATCGCAAATAAGGAAACTTCTGGGACTGCGAGTTACCATGGATGGTGTGGGTCAACATGGTGAACTCGGACGGCCTTTTGCCCTGCTCATTCCATTTCGTGAGTGTGGATGTGGACGATGACTATGAAGGAAGTGTGGTCTTCCATGTAGAACCTCTACAAATCCACGAAGAATGCTTCCATCTCCTCCTCTTCCTTGCTCGATGTTGGTGAGGCAACGAAGATGGTTAGAGCTGGGGTTGAGCCACATATTCTTAATCGCAGAAGTCCGATTCGGGTTGTTAAGCTTTTGTACGATTCGACGTTATTGGCCAACTGCGTATTGACGAGGGCGCCTACTCGCCGACGTCTCTGCTGTCGCATGTTCCAAGGAGCAGTTCTTCTCCAGTCCCTAATACATCGTGCAGCGGGCGATGCATTCTCGTCTAGCTCAGTCAAGTGACGTCATACTTGATTTTCCTAGCTTGCATCATCGGGTCTTCTATACGCGCTCCCGATGCAAGTGTCCGTGCGTAGAGAGTACAGATCGCCATCTTATTCCTTCTCTTTTTCGCCAGCCTGTTTTGGAGGGGGCTCCCTCAGGTTCAAGGAAATAAGGTCCATTTCTATTACTGTTTTTCACGAGTACATACCCGAAAAAAGGCCGGCCAGGCTCTGACGTGGGGGCTGGGTTGACACATGGGGGTTTCCAGGCTATCCCGAAGTGGAGAGGGACGAGGGGCTTGTTTTTGATGGCGGCCCCAAATCGCCTCCCAGATTCTTCCTAGTCACTCGAATGCAAGCTTTTGACTGAGTCGATGGGCAGGATACCAACTGCACCCGCAGACTTCCCACGCACGTATGCGTGTGAAACAGAAGGTATATCAGCTCGGCACAACAGAATCAGGGAGTCCATGTCCTGCGTTTCTGGGTAAGTACTGTCGACATTGAGTCGGCGAATAATTATCCTATTCGCCACCTCTGGACGCCCTACATAGCCTCGTCGCTAACCGACTTGGATTTTTCAGTGAAAACTCAGTGAGGGAAATCTGTAGAGGAATGTCGATAGGGTTTGGGAAGCCATTAACAAATTTTGAAATCAAATTTGCTGAATGGGTCTAACAAACAAGTTGTGAGCGCTTCAAGTTTGCATGCTCATACTTACTATACAAGCGAGTGAGAAGGGTTCGCTTCCCGTTCTCAACCCTGCTTTTTGCAAAACATGCTTACCTTAGATAAAACTTCTGAACCGTTCTTTTATTACTAATTCTAGTCAGCACTTTGTTTCGTCATCAGCGCACCTATTGAGAAATTTTCTCCACGTTATTTCTGTAATGCTCTTCTATTTTCAACAGTCAAAGACACCCACCCCCAAGTGAACATAGGCACGTCTTGTTGGAACATAGACACGCGAGAAAACTCGACATCGATGGAACAACCCAAAAAATGGGAAAACGTGCATTTTCTGGTCTCGAAATCAATTGAGTGTTTTGTTCACGGCTATAAAGAGACGGCATGTAGAAGGCTTGCATTTTGTGACCAATATGTCTGCTTCACTTGTTTCTTGGATTGTTTCCTCATTATTGTTATCAATTCAATATTGAGTTTTTCACGCATATCTGTTTCTCATAGGTCTCATGGTCAACTCCGGTAATGAAGTAGACTTATAGAGGGCTCATCTCACTTATCAATTTTCCAAGATAATTTCACCTGGGGGTGGGTGCGTTTCAATGTTGGAAATAGCGTTGCAGGAACGACATGGAGAACGTTCTCTCCAATGATTGCGATGATGGTGATAGGTGGGTGATCGCCCTTAGAAATCATTAATCAATAACAAAAGGACGGTTCACTGGCGTTCATCCGGAGGAAAGCACATTTGCAAAAACGGAAACAATCATGAAAAGCAGACCTACCTTTGAGAGTCATCCAGAGCGCAGTCATTACGCCATGGCCACCCTTGTGCCCATAGCGGGCAACCGCATATATCACCTTTTCTTTTTACACTTATCCCTTACCTGACCTGTTTTGGGCGCTTCTGATCGATCGCTGTCTTCGAACTGTCTAGCAGAGTACAGCACCTTTCCGATGTTATCGTTTGGTAATGCGGGAGCAGCTCATGATAAATGCAACACAGCATGATCTTCCGCACCTAGGATTTGACTTTTGGCATGGTTTGTGACGGCTTACTGGCAAGGCTCAACGATCGCCTGCTACCTTGTTGTACGCCGCCCCCTACTTTTTGTCCTGAGGTTTCATGCGTTTCAGAAACCGTTCATTCTTGTTTCGTTCTACCAGTGAGTTTCACACGTAGGCGAGGTCTACCGCATTGCGCTCGCGCTCAGTTCTTAAGGTGCACAAACATCGAGGCGCTTAACGAAATCGAGTTTTTGCGAATGGTCATGGATTCTTGATTTCGATTTACTGAATCTTTTTCTCATTACAGGAATAGTGATGCGCCTATTCGTTTCGATTAACATTTTGATTTGGCCGTTTTCTTCTGGTGATAGCCCATTGAGCCTTGCCGATCTTCGAGCGTAAATTCACACTGTTAGGATTTGCAAACTACTAACACACTTCATATAACATTGTCTACTCAAACTTGAAAAGCCTATCTCGTCGCCCGAGCAGCGTTGTTGCCCTTTAGAGAGAAGAAAAGCAACAGGTGCCGAAAACGCATGCGATGGTCCTCAATTTTCACATGAGTCCTAAACTGAAAGACTTTTAGGAATGTAAAGAATTTGAACAGAGATACAGAAGAGGACATTTCCTCTCAGAAATTATAAATTTTCTCAAGGTTGGGTCCTTGATCTTCTGTACAACGGTTGATAAATCAAGATGTTCATAGACGGCAGGGGTTTTCCGGACAGTCCAGTATCTTTCCAAACCCTATCGGTACACCTAGGTCGCTATTCAAAGTTCCATAGAAAGTTGAAACAACTCCCCGGTCAGTCCAAAAGGGGCTAGACACACCAAAACATATGAAAACTGTTTAACCTCTTCATCACAATAACTTTCCCTCTGTCCCCTGTCCAACTCGTTGTTAAAGGGCGAATGTGTTGTTTTGTTGCATGGAAAGGGATATTTGGACATATTGCCATCGTGCTGTCTGGGATCTGTTAAACCTTCACTAAAAAACATTCAGTGAAAATTCCCAGCAAACATACTGAAACCAGTGATTGTCGTAAGGCAGGGCACAGTGAGAGTCACGATTGATCTTATCTACACGGTTTGAAAACTGGACCAAATGAAGAAGCATACGATGCTGTCATGCCCTTTTAATCTTTATGTCAGGTTTCACTAATTATGAATTCGCAAGCGGTACTCATACCTACCCAGTGGGTTCTTATCGCTATGTATATATCATCAATTCAGCAACAATCTGAACACCTTTTCCCGATCTGGTTGTGAGTCTTTTCCAATATATTACGGTTTTTTTCTGCTGACTTGTCAGTCCTGACTTTCTTCAGAGTTTCGTAGCCAAATACGTTCGGGACAATTGATAATTCAGACCACAGCTGAATTCAAGCTATGCTATAAATGCCTGGATTGATCTCGTGACGTATACTAGGTAACTCATATCAGGTGTGCGATAGCGGGCCTTTGAACCCCTTTTGAACTTCCTCCTTGTACCCTCTGCAGGAGGTGGACTTGAGCCCAGGCTCGACTACTGTGGCAACTGGAGCCCAAGCACAGATCACGTAGGGGTTTGTCTGTCAGACATTGATCTTTCTTATTCACTTTGGATGTTGCATTTTTGGCTTCCGCGCTCAAACGGAATGCTGAAACCAGCATCACAACAGGACTCTGCAAAAGATATGCTAGCGGAATTCATTGCCTTATGGAACAACGCTCGGAGTTACCCGGTACGCTCAACCTGAATATTGGAATCTGAAATCCATCTCTCCATCGATGACTTTACCGCACAAGCAAAAGAATTTAAAACTATGTTACTCGGAAATTTTGTGCAGTTTTGTGAAGGCAGTTTTTGTTATAATCAGTTTTACTTTGCTTGGAACAAGTTATAACGGAACAGTTCACCGGTGCAATGCCAGCATTGGCCGACTAGATCATCACATTTCACTTCCTTTCATGTGTGACTGCTTATAAGCTATGGCTAAAAGATATTAAGAGAGCAAGTGTAAGCGGAGTCCCTGTAGTGTATACGGCGCCCGGCAAGCAGTTCGGGTTTTTGAAACTACAATTTCGATTCTCGCTAGTGAGGATCAAGTACAGTAGCTGAAATACAATGTCATGCTCTACCTGCTTCCCTCGGGTCCAGATGCTTTGTCTTGCGGCGAGAGCAACACCACGCACGCTGCGAGACAAGACAGGTTAAGACAATACGCTAGAAATACTATACAAGTGACGGATCAAATTCAATGTCTTCGTTCAGTAGCAGCTTCCATTGAACACTGTGACCTCGTTATTTCTTTGATTATTTCAATCAATGAGGATTGAAGCACAGCATCATCTGAAGAGTGCACGAAGAAGCAGAAATGATAATCGTCTTTCTACCGGACTGTGGGAAGTACGCAAGACCTGCGAAAACGAGATGACTGGCTCGCAACTGCCGCTATCATTCGACTCCACAAAACCGATGTAATTTTTCCCGCTTCCTTCCCGTAGTTAGTTTCCGTAATGGACAAAAAAACCGAAACCATTACTGTTCACAAAAGCTCTGAAAAACACGAATGCAATGCCTCCTGTTTCTTTGGTGAGGACGATCCCTAAACCAATACTGGGTCGCGACAGGAGCAAATGGAGATGTTATTGGCGCTGCTCGGTGAAATCGATGATTACCGGGACGACAGATGGTGCAGGAGATCGTGATTGAATGGAAATGTTGAACAGAAACACCAAAGACTATTACGCCCATCCAAAATGCCTGATAGCGCTCTGTTTCGCTCTTTCGTGCGTGTCGTCTAATAAGAGTGATCACGATACTTGTTTTGTACTATAGAAGTCCCCTCTCTAATCCTCTGAGCCAGTAGCTACTCCCCCGAAAACTCAAACATGTAGGACTCGTAGGTAAGGGCGTGGGTTCGTTGTGTTTATTTGATGCCTGGTAGTTGTTGCGGATGTGAGGTGGCCCAAATTTCACTAATATAACGGAACAAACAAAAACTGCACAGGATTAGAGATTGTGACACAGAAAATCAAGTAAGAAATCAGGCGAGGGAGGACTGAGTGGGGGCTCCGAGGAGAAATGAGATTGTGGAGTGGGTCTCGTCTGCTGCTCGGGCTCAAAAACCAGTGAGGCTTCACAAGTGCATACTTATCTAGGGTATGGTAATCGGAGAAGTGCTTCAATGGCGCGATGGTAGTGGCAACTGGCTTTCACCTGCGCATTTAGGACAAATCCTCAGACCATTTACGTTTTCCTGGTCCGCCATCGCCCCTTCCCCCGTGGCGCATCTTTGGTGCGCCCTTCTTTTGTATTGACCCACGACATGAGCAGCTAAATTACTAGAAGGTAAGTCTTGAGTTTTTTTAGATTCCACTTTTGAGAAGTAATTAGGCAGAAGAAAGGCAAATCACTTCATGTTCTCAATACGAATGGTTCTCGAAAATCTCAATGATTCACGGGAGAGCAATGGTGGGTAGGAGTTGTTATAAAAAGATGTGTACCACCTGATGCTCTTCTAATCGTTTTACGGATTAGTGACAAGAAATGCCAGGAAGCTACCAAAATAGCTGGTTTTGAATGAGATCAAATACGCTTATTACGATTCTTTAGGAAATAGCGTGAGCGTTCCCGTAAGGAAATTAAGAGCACGCAACCAAAAACTGAAACTTATGTGCACTGGCTGGCGCAACTTCATGCCAAGCTGGCTTTCGATTGCATCATTTGCAACCTTCAGATGAGTAGTTGGTTTTACTTTCAAACCAATCGGCTCTTCGGAATGCCGAAACAACTTCACAATAAAAGGGCAAAAAATCTCCAAAACGGATATTGAGTGTTTCTTAGAAATGCTGGACGTTCTCAGTTCACAGAAATCTCTCTGATTGAGCTACCTTTTCTTCTGTGAATTTCTTCTGGATAGTAATTGCCTAGACTTCAGTGTTGGGATGCGACATGACGAACCTTACTGTCCTTCGAAGCACATCATGAGCTCATCCCTAGGCCCCGGAAAAGTCACATGGTCAACGTGCTCACTGAGAGACTATCATCAATTCCTGCAGCGACTCGAGTAAGCACTTTATCTCTGATGACACTTCTCGCGACACTAAGGAAAATGCGCATGTTTAGTGCCCGCGGTAAAAACTGCCTCCGTGTATCCAACATGCCTACAAAGTTAACTATACCAACAAATACGAAACCTGGCCAAATTTATGATGCTAATTTACAATGCGAACTCATGCACGGACCGGGTTACCAACAGGTATATCAAATCATTTACGGTGCTGTGTGTGTTTCAAACTCTAGTGAGCTAAGCATTAGATTTATAGGTGACCCCAAGGCAAGACGCTTTTGATGGAATCTGCTACATGATGTGGTGCGGTCAATCATCCTTCGGCAGAATTATTACATCTCATCCAGCGCTCGAAGGTTCATGGCTCTAACACACTTTCACTACTTTTCCGCGTGTCGTGTATATTATATTTTTGTTATTCCGTGAACGCTGAAAATTCAAAATTTCATTAGAAAGGAGCAGCATGCCGACGGGCAGTTTTTAATTAGACAGGCGTTATAGAGTTGATCGTAAACTGAGGTTACTGGTTTGCCTCTGCAGTTTTCGATAATTCCACAGAAAAGAATACCAGTGTGCAATCCAGCCTGACAATTGGTCACACATTTTAGTATGCGTAAAAAATATGCCTTCTTTTCAAAGAAAAAAAACTCGAGTCTACAGCTATGGCCTAATGGTCACTGAGGGGAGTCCGCAGACTCGTAGGTGGGAGGTCAGGAATACTTCTTAGCTTTTTCTGCTTAGTGTTTAGAGTAATCGTCACCGGAAAACGGCCTAGCACAGTAACTTCGGCATTGTTGTTCGGCAGCAATAATTGTTTTCGATGATATTATTCAATGCTTCTGTGCCACATAGGTTTTTTAATGGTGGAAATTTTATTCGCCTGACGTTTCGACAAGATCGTCGTTTTCAAGGGCCTGAAGGCGTATCGAAACATTAGGGTGTTACCTATCACGCCTGACGTAGACCAGTTCTTAACTAGTTGCAACTCAGACCACTGAACTTACAACTAAGTAGAAATTCCAACAAGTCACTTACGTCAATTCCACCAACACCGAACGATTGCTCAATTTCCGAGACGATAGAGCAATTGAGACAGCCTGGTCAACCACGACTCTTTAATAGTACAGTGACATGACACGTATCAGTCTCTACTATCAGAGCTCGCATAGAGGGATGAAAGGCAAGAGTTCACCAGTTATGTTGATGCACTCGTACTTGTTATTCATGCTTGGATTTCGGTGTCTTATCCAGAAAACCACTAGAGTTTTTCTGGCACCAATACTGTCTTCGTAGGCCAAAATCGTGCATTTAACGTCAAAACCACAGCCAGCATGACCTTCTCTTCTGTGCTTCCCAAACGATGCAATCGAGCATTGCCTTCGTTTACTAGCTAGATGTTCTTTTACACGAACGCATAACTGCCTCCCAGTTTCTCCATAGCAAGCATCACATGTCACTCTTTTCCATATGGGCAGATCACGCAGTCATCCATGATGCAAATATGGTCATAGAGACGATTTCTAACCAATTGATCTCTGATGTTTTCTCTTGGTGTGTTAATCAAGAAAACGTCATTGGCTAGNCTTTCCAGGCATTGCTGAATAACTGCGCTGAATCGATCTGATATGAATGGTAACTGAAGATAAATTTTATCTCCAATCCCATATGGAAAAGTTCTTGATCTGCCCTGTGAGCCATGCTGCCGAGTTCTGTATCCATTTAGATTGGCTATTTGGTGTGCCAACCTTCTGGACTCTTCCCGCTTCTCGTTACCGGTGCACATCTCCACAGCCGTTCTGTACATGTTCCGTAATACTGCGCGTTTGACAGCTCTGGGGTGCCGACTTTGCATGAATGATGATATTCTTGGAGCTTCCTTTTCTATACCATTTCACACTGTATGTTCCACTGGTAACCCTTACCTGAGTATTCAAAAAGGTAACCAGTCTTCGTGTGGGACTTCTCGAGTTAGCTTGATGTACTGCGATTGACTGTTTAGAATGTTGAACAACTCATCCATTTCTGACTGAGTTGATGTTATGACGAAACAGTCGTCAATGTAGCCGCAGTACATTATGTTAGGCGTGCTAGCACTGGTGGTTGTTCGATTCTACTCATGAAGCAGACAGCAAGAACCGGTGCTAGCCGCTGCCCCATCGCAAGCCCTCTTATTTGTGAAAAGTAGTTCCCGGACCACTTAAATATGTTGCAGTTCAAGCACTCCTTGATGAGGGCCATTATCTATTTACTTATTATTTATCAGGATTAAAGGTGAATCGAGGCGCCTGTGTGATCTTATCCGTTCTAACGCCAAGGCCACGTTCTGCGCCAAGTACAATTCCCTGAGGGACAACAACGGGTGAGAAATTCTAATAACGATCACTTCTCGTCCAATTTCAACCGATCCGAAAGACAGAGCTAGCAACAGCCAAACATCATACCTGAAACGGCAAGGGTCACCATCGTAGGCGATGCACAGATTTCATCGAAAGCTATGGATTTTCTGAGCTTGGGGTCATTCTTCTCATTAACGCAAACGATCAACCCGCTCACCATTCATAAAATTGTATGCGGATTGCGAAAGTTCAGGGACCAACTGAGAACGAAAACATGACGCGACTCCCAGGGACAGGTAGTTGAAAGGCTAGAGCGTACTACTCCAACACCTATTCCATTCCCATTCTATAAAGAATCTGATCCCTTCCCGGAAGCGTGTATTAAGTTCCGAATCTGGTACAGGAGTTCTGAACGCGCTTAATAGATTCGAGTGTGAAAAGCGCTCCAATCTGACACGCGAGCAATGGTAAGGGCTCAAAGAAATCCGGGAAAGAATAAAACGAAATGAAGTACGCCTTTCTTTCAGCGATTAAGGTGGAGAATTTGTGGTATTACCTCAGTCTTTAGACAGGGAAATCACAGAACTTCACCTGACAGACATAACAGTTTACCGCAACACGACAGAAAAAGCCTTTTATACGAAAACACACAAATTAAACACCTTGTGGGTCAAAGTAGGAAAAATGGCAAAATTGGGTGAAAGACTCATTAGAAAGCTGAAGCTGGAAAACCCCACGTGCCCGGTATTCTACAGCCTAATCAAAACCCATAAGTTGTCTGCTGAAAACAAGCAGTCATCTCTGCCGCAGGCTTACAAAAATAGGCCTATAATCAGTTCAGTAAATGGACCGACCGATCGCATTTCATGGTTTCTGTATAAAATTATCGGTCAACTCCTAATCAATATAACTCACATCTGTCGAATACGGGACAGTTCTTGGATCGCTTACGTGCTTGCAGATTACAACACAACTGTGTTGTCGAGTCATTTGACGTGTCGGCGCTCTACACCTACGTTAGCAACAACGACGCTTTGCAAGCAGTTTCAGAAATGCTTGATCAGCATGAGAGAAATGTGGTGACGTACGGACTGAGCAAAGCACAAATAATGGCTTTCATCAAGGAGTGCTTGAACTGCAAAATATTTAAGTGGTCCGGGAACTACTTTTCACAAATAAGAGGGCTTGCGATGGGGCAGCGGCTAGCACCGGTTCTTGCTGTCTGCTTCATGAGTAGAATCGAACAACCAGTGCTAGCACGCCTACCCATAATGTACTGCGGCTACATTGACGACTGTTTCGTCATAACATCAACTCAGTCAGAAATGGATGAGTTGTTCAACATTCTAAACAGTCAATCGCAGTACATCAAGCTAACTCGAGAAGTCCCACACGAAGACTGGTTACCTTTTTGAATACTCAGGTAAGGGTTACCAGTGGAACATACAGTGTGAAATGGTATAGAAAAGGAAGCTCCAAGAATATCATCATTCATGCAAAGTCGGCACCCCAGAGCTGTCAAACGCGCAGTATTACGGAACATGTACAGAACGGCTGTGGAGATGTGCATCGGTAACGAGAAGCGGGAAGAGTCCAGAAGGTTGGCACACCAAATAGCCAATCTAAATGGATACAGAACTCGGCAGCATGGCTCACAGTTCAGATCAAGGCCTTTTCCATATGGGATTGGAGATAAAACTTATCTTCAGTTACCATTCATATCAGATCGATTCAGCGCAGTTATTCAGCAATGCCTGGAAAGTGCGGACCTAGCCAATGACGTTTTCTTGATTAACACACCAAGAGAAAACATCAGACATCAAATGGTTAGAAATCGTCTCTATGACCGGATTTGCATCATGGATGACTGCGTGATCTGCCCATATGGAAAAGAGTAACATGTGATGCTTGCTATGGAGAAACTGGGAGACAGTTATGCGTTCGTGTAAAAGAACATCTACCTGGTAAACGAAGGCATTGCTCGATTGCATCGTTTGGGAAGCACAGGAGAGAAGGTCATGCTGGTTGTGACTTTGTCGTTAAATGCACGATTTTGGCCTACGAAGACAGTATTGGTGCCAGAAAAACTCTAGTGGTTTTCTGGATAAGACACCGAAATCCAAGCATGAATAACAAGTACGAGTGCATCAACATAACTGGTGAACTCTTGCCTTTCATCCCTCTATGCGAGCTCTGATAGTAGAGACTGATACGTGTCATGTCACTGTACTATTAAAGAGTCGTGGTTGACCAGGCTGTCTCAATTGCTCTATCGTCTCGGAAATTGAGCAATCGTTCGGTGTTGGTGGAATTGACGTAAGTGACTTGTTGGAATTTCTACTTAGTGGTAACTTCAGCAGTCTGAGTTGCAACTAGTTAAGAACTGGTCTACGTCAAGCGTGATAGGTAACACCCTGAAGTTTCGATACGCTTTCAGGCCTTTGAAAACGACGATCTTGTCGAAACGTCAGGCGAATAAAAAATCCACCATTACAAAACCTGTGTGGCACAGAAGCGTTGAATGATATTAGTACCGATGCCCAGGTTTCAAGAAAGGCGAACATGGAAGTTGTTTTCGATGACTTTGATAACATTTCCTTTGATATTTTCAGCGATTTTTCCAGAGAAGGAAGAGGAGAAAGAGAAGAAAGAGAGGTAAGAGAAGAAAGAGAAGAAAAGAGAAGGAGAAGAAAGAAGAAAGAGAAGAAAGAGAAGATTCTAGAACTCATCAGTTCTGAAATATTCAAGCTGAACCGATGAGATTGACTAAAGGGGTAATAACTGATTCAGCTACGCCTTCAGTGGAGCAGGAAACGATTTCGCAAAGGGCTTCATCCGAAATAGCTGTACTTCAGTTTCACTACAACCAAATTTGTTCCAAATTGTCTGCTGTTCCTATGAGCTCTACATTCAGGCACGTTTTGTGGGCCGAACAAATGGTGCCAGCTTGGACGCTGTGTGCCGTGGGCAGGGAGCAGCTCGCCATCAACTACTCCAGCAAGTGGAAAGCTTCCCCCTACTGTCCATACTTCTGCTTCTTCATGGACTTCACCCAAAGTAAGCGTCATGCAGAATGTTGCAACCATCTTAGCTGGTGGTGTTCGCCTTCCTATAATGATCATTCCTACCACGGCAAATGTAGAATTCAAAGTTTATAGTTGCTGTTTCCATTTTCAAGCGCAATCCTTTGAAACTTACATTGTCATGCTTTGTTATTAAGAAAATTGATGGCGGATATTCGGCGTGGTCGACTCCGAACTGCAATCAGTGCACCTGCAATCCTATCATCGATTCAGTTGGACTTGCCATCTCGAGACGAACTTGCTCGAATCCATATCCTGCCAATGGAGGAGAAGATTGTGTCGGATCCAAGATACGCGCTATTGTCTGCAATAAACCATGTCCAAAGCAGCTACGTACTGTTGACGAGGTAGGAAGTACATTCAGAACAAGAATGCTCTCCATCCTTTGCATACTTAGTTTGCCTGGAAGATGAGTTCGCCTAAAACTGACAAATTCTTTATTATTTCCGTCTAAAAACAAGAGGCAGCAGGTGTGATGCGCGTTGCTATCTTCGATGTTTGGTGGCAGAAGTTTGAAGCGGAAGATAAGGGCCAATTATGGGCAGTATTAGGATCATCCTTGCTTTCTTATACCGAATGAGTGTGAGCCCTTGCTGATTCAGCATGAGATGTTGATTGCGGGTAATGGATGGCGAAAGCATAATGGTATCAACCGAGTAGGGGCGAATAAGCAATTTACACTGAAGTGGATGTCTAACGCTTTCAGTAATCGAGCAGTGTACCTCGATCCTTACACATATTGATGGCGTTCAGACGGGAGAGTAGATGCAGAGGAATAGAAAATGACAACTTTAATGCAAGATGCTGATGCTGCCCAGTATGTTATGAAAGTGAGGAATGTGTCATACTCGCAGCTATTGGACCTTGGAAATATCGCATTGAGGGTCGCTGAAAAACTATCATCTTTCCCCTTTATAACAATGTTAGCTGTAAGAAACCTATCCACAACCGACAATATGAAACTATCTACCGATAGTTTTCATCCGTTACAGTAAGAGGGGTCATGGCCAATGACTGATTGATCGCTAATAATATTGTTGTCATCAAACGAGAACATCAATAAATACAATCACTAACTTGTTACCTTACATTTGCAGGTACATTTGCTACTAATTCGTGGTCAACCGATGGTTTGCGACAGATTGATTCCTTTGCGAAGGATTCATCCGTCGCAAACCGTTGCTTCGCCATAGCTCCTTAAAGTACGCCAATTGAGTTAAAAGCGAATTCAGCAAAAAGCTCTACTTGCGTCAAATCCCGACACATAAAGAATTCCGACTTTCCTGCCTTCCTTGCTGCATGCATTTTAAGGGAAAACGAAAATTCAGTCCCACAGCACATAGTGTGTTACATGAAGATATAATAGCATCGTCAACCTTCCACTTTAACTGATAACTTCGTTCTCAATTTTAAAAACAATAAATGACACTATATTCGATGAGAGAATACAGTTCTGACTATTTTGATAATTTTGAATTTTTAATGGTATAATGTATTTTTGATCTCCTTCAAATTTGCAGCTTTATTTTTACAAAGATAGGAGAGTGAGTCTTTAGTACGTGAGATGTTACCTGCTGATATAACATCATCGCAGACCCTCCACTTCAATAGAAAATACCGCTCTAAATTTTTAAGGGGAAGCATAAAAACCCGATCATTTTGATATCCTCCATGACATAATCTCAACTCTCTCATCTAAAAACAGTGATTTAAATTAACAAGTTTTCAAAAATTTGCTAGTTCTTTTCGGAGGTGCATTTTATGGGAAGCGAAGTAGTTTCGCACTTGTTGGAGGCTTCAATGATGTGATACCAGTAATATAATGCATGCAAGACTATCCTCACAAGGGAAGGATACTTGGTCGCAGTGGCCATTCAAGATGAGATGTATGCCCCCGTAGGTGGTTTCGAACGCTGATTTCAAATCTGTGTCTCAAATCTGCGAAACGATTCTGGGAACAAAGTTACGAGACCGATGCTTCCCCTGTGTTATAGCACTGTACCGAACCGATCACCGAGTCGAGTAAACACAGCACTGTGCAATGGTGGTCTAGCGGCTAGCAGGGTGGAGTAGTGGACATGAAATCAAGGTTCGATTCCTCGATGCGTGCGCTTGTTTTGCTTTTCCATGAAATGTGTTCTAAATGCTTGCAAAACGTTTTTGGGCTCAATGCTGGACATCTACAGGGCTCCCTCACATTTTAGGACTTCGGGGAATGGTGATCCAATAAAAATTGTTTTCACCACTTTCACCGAATATACTACACGCCTCTCTACCCCTTACAATCAAGATGGTGTTTCGAAATCGTCGGCAGCTCCTTGCCTTACAGTAGACGGCAGTCGAATGACTCATCCGACCACCTCCCGTCTTTGGGAGGGATACGGTGCGGACATTCTATGAATACTGCCCGCGCTTACGAAGCTGTGATACAAATTAAAAGGCATTGTTGAAGAAATACTGTAGAACAATAACTTATCGCTATGTGTGCACATATGATTATCCGCTCATTCTTGAGGTGAACGTCCTTCCAAGGAGCCCTCTCATGGGGTAAATGTGGTGATGCGATGGGGCATGATACAACGCATGTCCTCAAAACCGTGAATCCACTCACGAATTGTTTTGAATTTTCCTCCTATAGGCCTTAATTGTTGATTTGAAGTGGTATCCAGTGGAAATAAGTGTAGTGCAGTGGAACTCCCGCATTAATTTTATGATAACTAATCCTTCCAACTTATATGCTAATCTCCATAAGTACGGCACCTGATAGTTGCGGCCACACAAGACATCGTAAGTTGCTAATAATAGACTAATTCGAAAATTCATGCCCTTTTGATTTCCGTGGACGGCACTCCGTCGTGATGGTACAAAACGTGTTATTCATGTTCCAGGAGGTGCGGCCTTTTGACACTACAGCTGCAGAAGGCTATGGATTCTTCTGCCAGCGCCATAAAATTGGAGCTCATGGGTCAGATCACAAGCTTGAAGGCTACGTTTAACTCCGGAACCTTTATACCCCCACGAATGTAGGAGGTTTCATTCGCGACGTTACGGGTCCATCGTCGCTGTCTTCAACAGGCGACCGCAGAGGATCATTGTGATAGCCTTTCACGGACTCGACTTTCACGCAAAGGATAATGGGCTTGTTTTCATAGCATCGATAAGTACGGTTCGATAGCTCTTCATTCCTAGATGGTTCCCACGTTATGCTGCAAGAACGAAGCTCCTACATAAAGTATGATGACACCACATTTGTTCAGAATATTCGCTGGTAAAGTAAGTGTTGGAGAGCGTTTGATTCTATGAATCATTTGGAACCTTCTTTTCGATGCCTCTTGAGCCCATTTTAAGCGAATGTTTAGAATTTGTGTTTTGCTCGAATAGAGCTCCACCTCATTTGGCCGGTGGGGAGCAAAAAAAACTTTCCTTGTAATACCTTTAAAGTGTTCCTAAATTGTGAGGGAGCCCTGTAGATGCCCAACATTGAGTTCAAAAACGTTTTGCAAGCGTTAAGAACGCATTTCATGGAAAAGCAAAACGAGCGCATGCATCAAGGAACCGAACCTTGCATCTCATGTCCACTAGTGCACCGGACTAGACTCTAGGCCACCATTGCACAGTACTGTGTTTGCTTGACTCGGTGATCCTACGGGGGTACACATCTCATCTTGAATGGCCACTGCAACCAAGTATCCTTCCTTTGTCAGGTATGTATGTAGTCATTGCAAACTTTTATTTCAAAGTTCATATCAATTTCCGATTGATTACATTTCACAATTGCTTCTAGTGTTTATCAGCGGTGATGTGGCTCGAAAACGCTATCGTAACAAAGTATTCGCTTCTTATACAGAGTTAAGTTGCCTTAATCGGTTCCTTACTGAACGTGGAGCTAATTGATCCCTCGCTATCAATTTCTGCTAGCGCATCGCCTGCACTGTAGCTTGTCCATTCAAGAGCACGCCCAGTGACACATTATGATATGCAAGTTGCAGAAGGAATTGGCAACACTATGCGAAATGCAGTTCATAGTTGTGTATAAGACCAAATATTCGTACTTATGTTGTTGGCCAAGTGTGCCTGTTGGTGTGTTTGTGTGTATGTTATGTGCCTGACCGAAAGTTCATAACTCCTGTCTCCATGGACTGAAAGCGTTCAAATCTGGTAGGAGCACAAAAGGTAGGAAGAGAACACCTGAGGTCGGTGGCAGAACTAGGCTCCGCCTACAATGGGCTGGGTTTGACCAAAAATTCATAACTACTGTTTCCGTGCACCTAGAGTGTTCAACTCTCCTAGGATCACTGGCGGCATGATGGGAACACTTATGCTAAGTCGTAGGGCCGCACTCCGCCTACAGGGGGCGGGGTTTGTGTAGCGATTCCTGACTCCTGTTCCCGTGCGTCTAGAACGTTCTAATTTATTGGTGTAGATGGTAGGAATGGCGGGATCGAATTACCAATGGTAGGTGGCAGGACTCTACTCCGGGCGGGGCGTGCGTGAAAATCGGCAGTTGGACCTGAGACATTCGGATTTGCTAGGAATAGAGGCGGTAGTATGGATTGTCGATATGAGGTGGCGTGACTTGACTCCGTCCACGGGAAGCGGGACGTGCGCAAAATTTGCTAATTTTGACCTGGGGCGTTCAGATTTGGAAGGAGTGCAGGCGGCAAATTTAGGACACCTATGAGATATGAAGGCGCAGATAATGATAATTTTGGGTAATCCAGATTATGATGAAAAATGGAAGACAAGATCAAAATTAGTGCGATGAAGGTGAAGAAACTGCGTGAATCAGTGTTTCCAAAGTGAAAAAAGGCTCCAAAAAACCGTTAAAAAGGGGGCTGGACGAGAATGAGACCAGAACAATGAAGAAGAGTGGGGCTTTCTGACGAGCCAAATGTGTCTCACTGCGCACGTGTGCGTCCTGGTGCAAATAACAGACTATGGTAAGCAAAAATTCATTCACTCATAAGCATAAGTAAACAAAAAAACCATAGTGACAGCAAAAGTAGCTCACCTTTATCAGCCTCTAGGAGTAGGAAATTACATAAGGGATCGCGGCAGGAAAAAGATTAACAGAGGAAAAAAGAATGAGAAAGGGAGAAAAACATCGCCCAATCACTCTTCCTAGAACGAATAGTTGCAATCTGTATTGTCTCGACACTCGTCTAACGTGACATCGATCGAGGGGTCAAAGCCAATTACGGCAGCAATAGGGCTTCCACTACGCCCTAAGCGCCGAGATTGTGGGAGCGGGAGAGTCCCTTCTACCACCGATGGGGGTCGCTGAGTAATCCTAAAGGAAGAGCTCAGTGAACTGTTTTATCGTGAACCGTGTCTTGGAGGTAGGGTAGCTGAGCTGGATCCAGCGCGCGGAGGCATAGAGAGATGTTGGGCGTGATGAAATGACCGTAGTTTGAGTGAAAACACGCATACATGTCGGAGTAAGAAAGAGTGAACCTAACACGAAGTGTGTCGTGCGTGTGTTTCGCTGGGAATCAATTGTTCTTGTTTTCTTGACCCAAAGATTTCACTAGGGAGAAGGCAGGTGGCGGATTAACGTTAACACAGAAGGGAGAAGAACCCGGCGTCAGCTGGACCACCTACCTGACTGGTACCACTATAAATCGCTTGCAACTACACTTATTGTTTGTTAAATCCGCCTTCTTGATTGGCCACCCGGCTCCCCATGCTTGGGAACTGGGAAGAATTGATACTACGAAACGGTCCGATTAGTTCAGAGAAGAGC